CTCGCACTACCGCCCAGGCTGGAGTGCAGTGGCACAATCTCTGCTCGCTGCAACCTCTGCCTCCTGGGTTCAAGTGATTCTCCTGCCTCAGCCTCCCAAGTAGCTGGGATTACAGGCACCCACCATCATACCTGGCTAATTCTTTGTATTTTTAGTAGAAGCGGGGTTTCACTATGTTGGCCAGGCTGGTCTTGAACTCCTGACCTTGAGATCTGCCCGCCTCGGCCTCCCAAAGTGCTAGGATTACTGGCATGAGCCACCATGCCTGGCCCGGAAGAGTATTATTGACTCCTTTGGTCATAAAATTCACACAAGATGTTGCTATGCTATTGTTTTGCTGTGGTGCAAGATTTAGCCATTCTTACCCTATTGTCTTCCTGGATTTCCCAGTCACTGGAGAAAGTCGCCAGCTGCTGTCCTTGGGAACAGTTTGAAAACTGGAAAAGGCTAGAAAACATCCTTCTGTTCTCTTGAGTGTCTGGGAAGATGGCATCTTGGAAATTGACTCCGTGAGGCAAAAGGTTATAATTTTCATCCATCCTAATGGAGAAGAGGGGGGAAAAAAGAGGCAGACATGTAGACTAGACAGTCAAGAGTGTACCAGCTTCAATCAAGAGTCAGAGACAACTGTGGCAGGCTTGCCAATTTCACATCAATGTCTGGCATGGCTCTCATTAGAGAAGTTACCACAGTTACTACTTCTAGTTGTTTGTCTCACACTACATGAGTCTATCCTTCAAGTATCCAAAAGATAAATTTGAGCAAAGCATGGGGAAAAGTATGCATATGGTGCCTGTTTGTCTATTTGTCTTCCAAGTCCCCTAAAGGGTCTTCCTTCTCACTGAGTATTCCTTATTTCCTGGTGAAAGGAAAGCCAGCTGTAAGGACCTAGGTTTAAGTTCTGTCATTGGTATTTATCTTCTATATAACATGAAACAAATATCTTAACTCCTCTAAGCCTAGTATTCTAATCTGCATAAAGAACATAGTGCTGGCCCGGTGTGGTGGCTCACGCCTGTAATCCCAGCACTTTGGAAGGCCGAGGTAGATGGACTATCTGAGGTCCGGAGTTCAAGATCAGCCTGGCCAATATGGTGAAACCCTTGTCTCTACTAAAAATAAAAAAAATTAGCTGGGTGTGGTGGCAGGTGTCTGTAATCCCAGCTACTCGGGAGACTGACGCAGGAGAATCATTTGAACCCAGGAGGTGGAGGTTGCAGTGAGCCGAGATCACATCATTGCACTCCAGCCTGGGAGATAATAGCAAGACTCCGTTCCATTAAAAACAAAAAAAAAAGAATATAATAGTGCCTACTTTCTTGGTGATGTCATAAGGATGGCATCAAAAACGTAAATAAATGAAGCACTTAGTGCAAAGTAAATGCAGTACACATTAGTGAACGTATTTACAGGGCCTGGCATAAATCAATTAGAATGATTCTTAAAGAAGTCAAGAAGAGATGAAAGTTACACTCTAGTCTAAAAACAAAAAGGACACGTAGGGCTCACCAGCGAGTCTCAACGGCCACCCTCACCCGTGATACTGACCAGAGGCCCCGTCTCATCTCAGTGGGTCCCAGAATAACAGAGGAGGAATGATGTGTATTCAGTTGTTAACACACTCCAAGGCAAGACAGCCCTGTGAAATGAAGATGTCAGACTACTGTCTTTGTCTTTCTGCCCTAACTTATGTAAACATGGTAGAGCAAAAAAGATGAGAATTGGCTGAGCACCACGGAACCATCGGACAAACTGTGTTTCATGATAAAAATTTCTTTAAAAACCCTGCTCAAGTACTTAGGCGCTTTTTTCTTGGGAGAACAAAGTTCTGGTTTTGAACAGTTTTATAGATGGATTCTCAGAATTTTTCCTAATTAAAAACATGAAACCCTAAGTTCCTCCGTATTGAGAAGGGCACTCTCAGTCCTTGCTAGCTTTATTTAGAAACTATACTTCTCTGGAAATTTAAAAAAAAAAAAAAAATCTAGCTGAACCACTCAAGCCAACACAAAGCAAGACATGTTTTTTAATCTTAGGTATTCTGGCTTCAATATGGAAAACACGTGTTGCCATGCACTTACAAACACCACTTTGTAGAACTGTTTTCTTTCTCAGAGAAATGCGAGCTAAAAGTGAATCTGCAGACCCAGGTCAGCCTCATTCCAAATATCCCTAGTGCTACTTCAGACTGGGAAAACTGCAACTACTACCGACCTCCACAATGATGGATTAATTCACTCACCCTCTTGATACATAGGTTACATTCCATTTTGATGCTTTCCTCAGTTGTTTCATATCCCTCTCCAAATTCAACTGAAGCCAACCAAAGAATTTAGGATTCTACCTGGAGCTCTCTATTCAAATTTCAGAAAAATTCAGTAGTCAATGAGAATTGACTGAATTCTTACGCAGATGCATTCCATCTCGACCACAGGCCAACGCTGATGGAACTTCAGGAGAGTCCAGTGGTCTAGAATCAAGAGGACCTCCTGCCGGGTTCACCTCTCCGCTCCGCAAAGCGCTGTGACCCAGGATTTTACCCGCAGCAGAATCACTACCCCCCAATAAACCTTTGCTATTTCACCTAACCTGGCAGCTGATACGAGATAATGAAGCGATGCTGGACTGCATTCCACACCATTCACCTCTTGGCATTTGAGCAGGAAGAGGAGAGGGCGGACAGCTGGTCGGTCAGCCACTACTCTGCACCAGGTGCTCTGCATGATTACGTTTCCTGCTCAACCAGCCCTGCTTCTCACTTTACACAGGTGAGGCTATGGAAGTTCTTGAGAAGGTGAAAGAAATGTACAGTACTCAGAATCACGATTAGAAAGGGCAGAGCCAAAATGTCAGCTGCAGACTGATTTCAGAGATTGTTTTTCTCACCGTCCCAATCTGCTCCCACTGAGGCCAGTTTAAAAACCCGAGTCACAGGGACTGCTGGAGCGCGCTTTGAGCTTTTGCCTGCAATGCTCTTTCTTCTGTGTGCATGGCACAGAAACCCTCCCTGTCTTTTAAACAGCCTTAAGCAAGGGTAGCCAGGGTGTCTGTAGGGACGTCACACGGAGCAAGAGAGAGCCAGGAAGGCAAGCGGGAGGCGCCCCAAGCGCATCCTCACTGGGCACCGACAGGCTGCCCCCGGGGTTCCCGGCCTGGCTCCAGGTAACGGCGACGTTGGGAGGTGGCGCAGAGAGGTGGCGGCGGCACCGGGCTCACCTGAGGAAGAAGAAATAGGAGTAGTCCTGGACCACGGTGTGGGAGTGGCACGAGAAGTAGCCCAGGCCGGTGAGGTTGAGCCTGGAGCCGGCGGGCACCTCCAGCATGCTGCCCCACGCCTGGTCACACAGCATCTCTACCTCGGCCGCGTAGAAGAGGCCCCCCTGGCCGGCGTGGTGCTGCCAGGGCAGGTGGTTGTAGAGGCCAGGCGCCTCGGGGTGCAGCGCCAGCACCCGCGCGTACACGATGGTCTCGGCCAGCTCGGCGCGGCAGCCGTCGCTCAGGGGCCTCCACTCGGAGGGCAGCTGGCAGGCGCCCGCGGGCGCCGGGGGACCCACCAGGCAGAGCGCGGCGAGCAACAGCGGGCGCAGCATGCCGGGCCCTCCCGGGGCGCACGGGGAGGCGGCGGGGAGCCCGGGCAGCCCGCCGGCCTGGGAAGGGCAGCCCTAGGCGCTTGGCTGCTCTCACCGCTCCCGGGAGCTAGGCGAACCGCTGTCTCCGCCGCGGAGCTCCGCGTGCCCGGCCCCAGCGCGCCACGCTTTAAAAGGCTCGGGGGGACTGGACGCGCCGGGCGCCCGCCTCCCGTCCTGCCCCCTGCGGCTGGGGCGTGGGCGGCGGAGGGGCGGGGAGTCGGGCGGTCCCGGCGCCGGCTGGGGCGGGGACGCCCGGGACCCAGCCCTGACTTGGGGACAGAGGCCCAGCCGTCTCCTGGCGCCCCACTATGGACGGGGTCCAAGCTTGCCAGGCGCAAAACCTGTTTGCAAACGCAAGGAACTCATAAAAGAATGACTTTTAATTTGGACGATCACTGCCTAAGTTTCGACATTTTCTCCGCATTTCAAAGTAAAAATACATAGAAATCAAATCTGACTTTATCTTCCAGAGATTAACTAGGAAATTCAGTGTGGGCTGAAAAACTCTTTTAGATCTTGTGCTCTCTCAGATTTCCTAATTAATCAAGATCTTAGAAAAGCTTTGATAAAAGATTCCAAAAAGCAATCACGTGGCCCTGATTTTCTTAAACCCATATGGTTTACACAATCCCTACTTCCATTTTCTGAACACTGTACACCTGAGAGATACATGCAGAAGAAAAAATTCCAAACAGCCTTTCACATCAATGAGTGAATTTGAGGATACTCAAACTCCACAGTTCCATCTTTATCTCTAAAGGCAACAGGTTTTTTTGGTTTGGTTTGGTTTTTGGTTTCTTCTTGAGACAAGGTCTCTGTCATCCAGGCTGGAGTACAGTGGCTCGATCAGGGCTCACTGCAGCCTCCACCTCCCCTGGGTTCAGGTGATAATAGGTCATCCTCCCAAGTAGCTGGGAATATAGGCACACCACCACCCAGATAATTTTTTGTTTTTAGTAGAGACAGGGAGGGTCTGGCTATGTTGCTCAGGCTGGTCTCAAACTCCTAGGCTCAATCGATCCTCCTACTTCAGCCTCCCAAAGTGCTGAGATTTTAGGCGTAAGCCACCACATCTGTCCTGATTATTTAAATAATGCAATTTCATAATGCTATTAGTCTCCCAGGGCTGCCATAATAAAATACTCTAGATTGGTGGCTTAAATAAGAGACATTAATTTCTCAGAGTTCTGGAGGCGGGAAGTCCAAGGTTCAAGTGCCAGGGCTGGTTACTGGTGAGGCCTCTCTTCCTGGCTTACAGACAGCCACCTTCTGGCTGTGTCCTCATGTGGCCTTCTCTCTGCGCGTGATGGAGAAAGAGTAAGGTCTGGCTTCTCTTCCTCTTCTAATAAGGTCACCAGTCCTATCGGGTTATCACCCCACCTTTATGTCCTCATTTAATTAGCTCCCTAAAGGCCCTAATTCCAAATACGGTCACGTTTGGGAGTTAGCACTTCAACATATGAATTTGGAGGTGGGAGAGGATGCAGGATTCAGTCTGTAAGAGCTATTTAGCAGGTGTTCTGCAGGTTTGCTAGAGAAAGAGAGCAGAGATCCCAAATGGCTTATATTCCTGGCAGGCAGACTCAGAGCACACATTGCCAAGTTACAATAACAATTGCTAAACTGTATTCACTGTTGACCATGGGCCAAATACTATTGTAAGCACTGCACATATGTCATCTTAATTAATTCTCCAAACAACATTGGAAATAGATACAACTATTGTCCTCATTTTACAGATAAGGAAACAGGCATAGAGAGGTTAATTAACACCAAAGATCACACAGCTGCAAAATGACCAAGCCAGGATTCAGCACCCCCACCACAATCAGACTCCAGAGTCCATGTACTTAACTACAACACTTAGAATAGGGCCAAATATAGGAAATGCTCTAAAGACACAGGCCGGCCCTTTAACCACGATGTACACAGAGCAAATGAAGAACAAAACCTCAGCAGAATCACCAGCACTGGCTCAAAGAGTGTGCAACTGACTTAGCGTCAATTTTGTGTCACCCAGAATCCCTCCTGTATTTTAGTCCTATACTGTAACTCATGCAGATAAGATACAAAGAAAGTTTTTCTTATTAACTGCATCTTCAAGTGCCTTGGAAGCCTGGAAAAGATGTGTCTACCCCTACTGACTGTAAAGCCCTGACTTTTCTTTCCACATCGATGAGCAAATAAATAAAATCAGCATACATGGCTGTTTTTTCGCTACTTGACAAAATTGAAACTCTTCCAGTACTACCCAGAATGTATATTGCAGAAGTGAGCACCTGCAAGAAGTGGTCCTCATGGATTCAGCAGACACATCGATCATGCTTTTTGCCTCTGTAAGATCTGGCAGATCTCACTGATTGTGTTTCTCTTCCTGACGGAGCCATTGCTGTGTATCCTGGTGAGCAGTTCCCCTTTGGGGACTAAGACCTCCAAACAAGCAGAGCTCAAGGTAGCCAGAAGGAGGAACAAACATTCTGTGAGGGAATTATTGGGTTTCATAGTGACCTGAGCCACTTCCATCTCTTGATTCCAGGACCCATATGTCCTGGCTGTGGGGTGGATGGATGTTCTATTTCAAAGCACACACAGTATACTTTAAGATGGACTCCATCATTTCAGTGTGGTAACTCCCAAATGACACTATAATTAAGTCTTCACTAAGCAGTTACACTTTTCAGAATCTGTCCCATTGCTTCCAGGTGACAGGGCATGTGGTAAGACCAGTTAATTCTATGGCCTTGAGACTCTGCTGCACTTCGCTGCTGTGAAAGAAGCAATGCTATGGGAATCATTGATTAGAAACATCACCACGGAAATTCCATGATGGTGGATAAGGTGCCCAGTGAGTTCCAGAGATGGGGCTCCTGGCAGAAGCATTATGGCAGGGAAGGCATATCCATGTCCAGAATGTGTCTATTTCAGTCAGGACAAATCTCTGACCGCCCTCCCCGCACCCCAAGATGGAAAAGGTTCAATGGAATCAATCTGCCACGAGATGGCTGACTAGTTCCCCAGGTGAATGGGGCCACATCAGGGGATCCATGTTGGCCTCCATTGTTGACATATTAGGCTTTCAGCAGTAGCGTTAGCCAGGCTAGCCGTGGTAAGAGAAAGTCCACATTGTTAAGGCAATGAATAGCCTCTATGCCTACCACCATGGACACTCTGTTTATGGGCTCATTGAGTAGGAACCAGAGTGGCCAAGAATAGAGACTGACACCCACTGAGTACATGAATTTCCCACCTAACCACTGAGAACTTCCCCTCCAGTGAATGCACTTGGGTCATCATTCACATGGAACATAAATATCTTCTGGTAACCATTATGAGATGTCCATTCATTCACCTCTTCCTAAGAAGCCCTTGTCAACAATTTTCTGACCCAATTTCTTTCAGGTCCCTAGCCATCCAAACCACTAGCAACTGCCCACGAATCAGGGTCCATTTGTACTACCAGCCATCTCTCAGTCTAGACATGGCATACAATGAAATCTGCTGCTCAAAGTTCTATCAACTGGGAGCATTTTTCTTCACCAGCATCCTTCAGGATCACCCTTGAGTGGAACTGAGTCATACCTGTGTGTAATGCAGAAAAATCTGCAAACCAGATGAAATAACGAGTCTTGTCATTTTATCCTCATTCAACTGGTCATAAGGAGTATCCCAAAGAGGCCATAAACCATATGAGTGGAAGGGGCAAAGCACCTTCGGAGTCAAAGGAATCTAAGCCATTTGCCCATGCAACGTGCTTGTGCCACCTGGATCTGCCCAACCCCAGTCTCTTGGATACCATTTCGATTTGATGATAAATTGCTGCTGTGCACACATGGCCTTATATCTGGGAGGGTCCAACAACACTCAGTTCATGATGAAAAATTCATATCACATGATCACCCAGCATACCGCTGTTAGGCATTCAATCTCTACCAAGGCCTAATAGCAAGGTAGGTCCTATTTTCCAAAAGGCAAATAGCCATATTCAGAATAAGGCATAGATGTGCACTAAAATCCTAGAGTTTGGTGCTGTAATTTTCCTTTCGGTGCTTGCTAACGACTCCATACCGCATTCCTATTTGCCATAAATACCGTATCACTGGACCTTCTGGGTAACAAGGCTCAAGTGATACAACGGCTTGTACACAGCCTGAACTTGCCACAGAGACCTGTCAGAACTTGTTCAACACCACCTGAAACTGGCAGCCTGACAGATAACTCTACAAATGAATCCAAAAGCACATTTAAATGTGGCATATGTTTCCTCCTAAATACGAAAAGGCTGAACACACATTTTTCCTCTTTTCCCATTGTGGATCATCCAAGGACCAGCAACTTTCCTTTCACCTTAGAGGAGTGACGATTGAGCCCCCAGAAACTTCACTGAGGTAGCAGGTTCCTGAATTTTTGTGGGGCCTATCTCCCACGTTATATCTTACCAAGGCCTGTAAAGCATATGGTGTTTTGTGAATGTCAGATCCATTCATCATAATGTCATCCACGAGGTCATCCAATGTGATGGTTTGTGGAATGTCAAGACAATCAAAATCTCTGCAGAATAAATGTGATAGAGAGCAGGAGGACTGACATAGCTGAGGCAAAACTGAAAGTATACTGGTAAGCCCTCACAGGTAAATGCAAATGTTGCTGGCAATCCTTGCAAATCAGTGAGGAATAAAAGGCAGGTGAGTAGCTACAAAGCAAATGCTGAGTGACATATCAGTTTGCTCCAGGAAAGATACTACATCTAGGACAACAGCTAGAATTTGAGTCACCGCCTCATTTAATTCATAGTAGTCCTCACTCATTCTTCGAGACCCATGTGACGTTTGCACAGACCAGATGATGAGTTCAATGGAGATGTGATAACTATTACCCCTTTTTTCTAGTCTTTGATGACAGCATCGACTTTTGCAAAATCCCCTCAAGGATGCAGTATTGCTTCTGGTTTATTCTCTTGGTAGAAATGAAAGTTCTAGGAGCTTCCGCTTAGCCCTTCCAACAATAAAAGCCATCACTCATGGGTCAGAGAGAAAATGTGGGTGTTTGTCAGTTGTCAACTCTGGTCCCTTTGGAGAAGTCTTAGAGGAGAAGTTATGCATGTGGCACTGGTTCAGGGTCCTTCCTCAAGGGCACCTGGCTTACCTTTCAGTCAAAAGGCTCTGTGTCT